ATGTGGGGCTCTCTGCTTGGCAGGGAGCCTGCTTCCTCCTCTCTCTCTCTCTCTCTCTCTCTCTCTCTCTGCTTCTCTGCCTACTTGTGATCTCTGTCTGTCAGAATAAATCAATAAAATCTTTAAAAAAAAAAAAAAAAAACTTTCAGCTTAGGTACCTGCTTGGGAAAGGGAGTCCTACAGTATTTCAGTAAAAGGTGTTCATGGCAGAAGTGCTGGCATGGTTACAAACTTAGATACAAATGTGAGGATAGGTACCATGGGGTTGGTAAAGGGACCAGGATAGCAACAGTGGTAATATTGGGTGTACGGGGCCGGGTCCCAGAAAAGTGCAGACAGCCGACTCCCAAGGCTAGTTGAGCTGTTTAATGGGGGGGGCTGTTTACCATGGTGTCTCGTTGGCTGGAGCTGCCATCACCCAGTACCCCTGCCTTCATCTAGTCCAGCTGCTATAACGAAAATACCGTAGATGGGTGGATTACAAACAACAGACATTTATTTTCTCACAGCTCTGGAGGCTGGGAACTTTAAGATCAAGATGTTGGCAGGGTTGGTTACTTCTGAGGCCTCTCTCCTTGGCTTGTGGGTGGCCACCCTCTCCTTCTGTCTTCATATGGTCTTTGTTCTGGGTGGTCTGTGTCCTCATCTCCTCTTACTACAAGGATACATGTCAGATCAGATTAGGGCCTGCCCATATGACCTCATTTAACCTTAATTACCTCTTTGAAGACCCTAGCTCCAAAGACAGTCCGGTTCCGAGGTCCTGGGGGTTAAGACTTCAATATAGGAATTTGGGTGGGAGGTTGGGGGGAGTGGGACACAATTCAGCCTACAAACAACACTGAAGGGGGTGTTAAGAGAATCAAGATGAGATGGTGAACCACCTAGGAACTGGTGACAGTGGAAGCCTTTGTCAGCCTGTGGCCTGAAGAGGCAGAGAGGAAAGGGCCTGTTGTTCCCAGAACCCAGTGAGAGCTGTAGCCACAGGTGAGGGGCCGCCCAACAGGCTGTATGCTCTGTGGTGGAGGAACACAGTCACTGTGGATAATGAGGCCTAGCAGGGAAGGAAGAGGGCGAAGACCCAAGCCCTCTCTCTCCCCACCCCTCTATACTCCTAATAGCACTTGGCTTTGGTCAAACCCATCCAGAAGTCCAAGAACAAAGGAGCCTGGGAAGAAGTGTGGCCAGGAGTGGGTGGGAGGTGTATTACATGAGTGGGACTGTGAGGAATAAGCAGCACAATGGGGGCAATGTAAAAATTTCCAAAGAAGGAATTAGAATTAATGTTCAAGCAATGTAAATGGGCCTCAAAGAGTCATTGGAAAGCAGAAAATGTTACTTGGCTGCAAAAATATTAGTCAGATCTTCTAAACTAAACCACCTACTCATGTAACCATTTCAAGGTTCAGAAGTTACCATTCTAGGATACTTATTTACCTAAGTAAAGCAGAATGATAGAACACCAAATGTTTGTCTATCACGTAATGTTGAACATTCATGTTCTTGTGTTCCATACTGTAACATGTAATATATATGTAGATGTTACATATATATTATATACATCACACACACACACTCTTGTTTTTGAGTGGTTCAAAATGGTGGCCTGGAAAGATGGCGCAGGATACAGAGATTTGGATGCCCAAATGATTGGTATAGGACAAAACACAACCAACTTATAATTGATTAGTTTGCACCACCCAAAGTGATACTAACACATGACTCTGAGGCAGAGAAGAAAAAAAAGCCCACACCCAGATGAGACCTGGTGTTCTTCCCATGGTCAGAGCAGATGACTCTCAGTTAAGGCCTCATGCTTAGCCCTCAGATCCAGGGGCAGCTGTGCCACTGGGGTGGCCTACAGCTCTAGGATTCTGCGCTGCTTTGTCCCAGTGAACCCCCTGGGTGATGTCAGGAGCCAGTTACATCACGGGCCTCTGTTGGAATGGGCCAGCCTGGAGTATGTCCCCGTCTCTTCTGAAATAAACCAGAATCTTTTGGGGCAAGGACCTATCAAGAGAAAGAAGGGCTTGTCTAGTACAGATGGCTCTCTCTTATCTTAAGCTGTATTTGGGTTATCTATTCCTATAAAACAAACCACCCCAAAACTTGGCTACTTACAACAACAGTCTGTTATTCCCCTCATAAATGTGCATTTTGGGAGGGGCCTGGGGAAGAGCTTGTCTCTGATCCACACAACATCCTCTGGGTCCTCCCGACAGAGGGCTGGGAGATCCAGTTCCAAGATGGTGTAGGGACATGGCTGGGAAGTGCATGTGAGCCTTTCATTGGGTGTTCAGCCAGGGCTGAGGACAGGGCCCCCTGTTCCTCTTCTTTGGGGCTGGGGTTCTTGTAGCATGGGGACTGGGTTCGAAGGATGAGCATCCCGAGAGAGACAGATGGACTCTGAATCACCTCTTTTGTCCTCGCCTTGCAAGTCTTACAGTGTCACTCCATTATCCCCTGGTGACCACAGAGGCTTATCCAGTTTTAAGCAGAGCAGGCACAGACGTGGGAGAGCTGCGAGGTTCTGGAAGAACCCGTGGGATGGGAAATATAATTGGGCCCATTTGGGAATAGACTGTCTGCCTCAGGATGGTTCCCTAGGTGACCCTTACCCATCACTGGTCACAGCGTAGTTACATGAACTAGGCTGAGCCTCTGTCTTAGCCTGCTCAGCCTGCTGTAACAAACACCACAGGCTGGGGGGCTTAAACAGCAGACATTTACTTTCTCACAGCTCTGGAGGCTGGAAGTCCAAGATCAAGGTGTTGGCAGGGTTGGCATCTGGTGAGATCTCTCTTTTGGGGTTGCCCTTTCTCTGTGTGCTCACATGGCCTTTCCTTGGTATCTGTGCAGAGAGAGAGAGAGAGAGAGAGAGAGAGAGAGAATGAGGTTTCCCTGGACAGATCCTATCTGATCAGGAGACCACCCTTATGGCCTAATTTAACCAATCTACCTTCCTTCCTTCCTATATTTCTTCCTTCCTTAGTGGCCTCATCTCCATATACAGGTTCTCTAGGGGTTCAACATATGTGAATTTGCGTGGGGACACCAGCATTCGATCTGTAACATCCCCCACAATGATATGAATTAGATGACAACTGAGAAATATAAATTTATATTGATATTCCTTAATTCAAGAAAACTTTAATTTATCGAACTCTAACATAGTGCCAGACTCTCTGCTAGGCTCTGGGAATACAGGTAGGAGAAAAATAAACTTCCTGCCCTTAATGGGTCTATAACCATGGGGGAGACAAAGCAGCCATTAAAATGGGGCAGGAGCTGCAAGGAGCACAGGCTGTGACATGTGGCAGCTTTGGGAGGGGATGAATAAAGCTCTCCATTCAGAGCTGCACTGGGGATGTCCAAGCAGAAACAGAGGATGCGTGGTACTGAGGAGTAAATACGAGGCAGGACAGGTGAGGGGAAGCATTCAGGAGAAAGCAATAGACCATGTGGAGACCCAAGGCAAAACTAGGGTGACCGCCATCCTGGTTTGCCCAGGGCTGGCCCACTCTAAGCACTAAAGTCCCACATCAAGAACCCTTCAGTCACTTCACTTTATCCATGGAGAGAGTTCAATGCAGCCAGCATACCTGGGGGGAGTGGGGGGGGGCAGCAAGGCTCATGAGAGAGAAAGCTGAAAACGTGGGCAGGATTCCAAACAAGAACCAAGACACGCTAAGGAATTTAGACTTTATCTTGCGAGAAGCTGAGCAATCAGTAAGTGATCTTACCCATAGGAGTGGCTGGCTAAGAGTTGGATGTAGAAAGAGCTCTATCTGCTGGATAATTAAGAAGAGGAACAGTTCTGCAGTCCTGTCAAGAAGCCCTGGCGGACTTCCAGGGACGAGACTGTGGTGATTTAAAATAATGCGGGGAGGGGCGCCTGGGTGGCTCAGTGGGTTAAAGCATCTGCCTTCAGCTCAGGTCATGATCTCAGCATCCTGGGATCAAGCCCCGCATCCGCATCTGGCTTTCTGCTCAGCAGGGAGCCTGCTTCCCTTCCTCTCTCTGCCTGCCTCTCTGCCTACTTGTGATCTCTGTCAAATAAATAGATAAAATCTTTAAAAACAATAAAATAAAATAAAATAATGCGGGGAGATGGAGAGAACCCTAGGATTTGGACTAGGTTAAGAAGTAACAGAACCGGGGCGCCTGGGTGGCTCAGTCGTTAAGCGTCTGCCTTCGGCTCAGGTCGTGATCCCAGGGTCCTGGGATCGAGCCCCACATCAGGCTCTCTGCTCAGCGGGGAGCCTGCTTCCTCCTCTCTCTCTGCCTGCCTCTCTGCCTGCTTGTGATCTCTGTCTGTCAAATAAATAAATAAAATCTTTAAAAAAAAAAAAAAAAAGAAGTAACAGAACCTGGAAATATAGACAAGGGGGGCTGAGAGACCAGAATTCAAGAATGACTCCCCGGTATCTGGCTTGGGCAGCTGCAAAAAGTATTGGCAAGGAATTCGGATGGTTTGGAAAGCCTTCCCCACGCCACCCTACACAAGAATACCAACAAAGCAGCTCTTCTGCCTCCCATACATCTCCTGTTGACCTAGAAATTCTGAGTTATTGTTCCACTGACCCAGAAG